AAGCACAGGGCTTAGGTGTTGAGCGACTGCAAGCACAGAGGCACTGTCTTCAGACGGCAAACAGTAAAGGCACAGCCAGGGTTTAGGGTTTTAGCGACTGCTAGCACAGAGGCACTGTCCTCAGCACAGTCTCAAGTCTGGGATAGAAGGGGATAGGGGGGCAGATGGCACAGCAACAGGAACGGACAGACTGTATTTGGCGCCCAGCCTAAGGCTGAAGAGGTACAGCTAGCATCTGCCGAACGACAGTCTCAGTGGCTGGAGCAGCCCCGACAACAGGAGGCCTAGGCATTGTCCCAGTCTATGTTCCAAAATCCTTCAATGTTGCTCAATATTGTTCAAAGGGACGCTGGACCTGCTTTCCAGCAGGTGAAGCTCCCTGGCAGTGCCTGCCGCACGCCTTCTACTACAATGGGCGCCCTTCACTGCCTGCCACGCGCCTTCCTTACCTTTTGCACGCCTGTCCCTGGCGCTCGCCCATGTTGCGCCCGTGCATGCCTCTGCTCTCTGTCTGTGCTACCATTGTTCTCATGTGCGCACTGCTACTTACTTGTGCGCCTTCTCAACCAGCTGAAGACAACAAGCGGTTGCTCCGATGCCACTGAAAAGGTGTTGGTTGCTGGACTTTAAAGCACCAAACTTTATACCTGCATTGTACTCAAGGTCCGCACCAAGCCATCAAGGTTCACAGGTATAACCACGTTAAGAACCTATTTACATTTGAAATGATGTGCACAGGTTTCTCGAGCTTGCAACTATGGCCGCATGCAACAACCATATCAAGGAGGTAAGTTTCTTTCTTCACGTGTGCGCTACTACCTACTTGCACACCTTCTCGAACAGCTGAAGACAACAAGAGGTTTCTATGATGCCACTGAAAAGATCCTGATTGCTCACATTTATTGCCGCGAACTTTATGCATGCATCGTACTCGAGATCCACACGAAGCCATCAAGGTTCACATGATATAACCACACCAAGATTTCTCAAGCTTGCAACTATGGCCGCACACAACAAGAACAACATGGAGGCAAGTTTCTCTCTCTCTCTCTCTCTCTCTCTCTCTCTCTCTCTCTCTCTCTCTCTCTCTCTCTCTCTCTCTCTCTCTCTCTCTGTGTGTGTGTGTGTGTGTGTGTGTGTGTGTGTGTGTGTGTCTCTGTCTTTGCTGCTACGACTACACTCAGGTCTCACTATCTCTCTCTGAATGTCCTTGGTTGTCTCCCTCTCTACCACTGCGCTCCACCATAGCTATGATGGCCAGTGTTGTCGACTACTCTCTCGCCAGGCACTATTCACACTTCCAACGCCGTGCGCACAATAACGCAGCAGCCCTTCCACATAAGCAGGAATCAAAGAAGAGGCGGTTCCTATCGCTGTCCTCCCTTTTTGTGCATGTGCCAGTGCCTCCCACATGACTCTGGGCTTCTCTGTGAGATCCAGCCCTGGCCGAAAAAAATTTTGGCCTGTCGTGGGGCCCTTCCTGGGACTGAGCTGCGACTTGACCGGGACTGGACACATGGCGATTCCCTGCCCACTGACTACTACGGACTTACTACTGACCTTTTCTCATGGGATCTCTACCAGAAATTTCTGCTGCAGCCCTATCGTACAAACGAAAATTGGGCATGGTACAAGGGAAATACTGTGAAGGCACGTGAATCCTTTCAGAAGAATTAGAATAAGAGGTAAGAAGGAGAAGAGAAAAAGAAGGTGAAGAAAAAGCAAGCATAACGAAGACGAAAAAATAGGATTTGAAGGAGAAGAAGAGGACGAATTGGAAGAAGAAGGGAAAAAGAACAAAAACAAGAAAAAGTAGAAGATCCATTATATAAAACTGTCAAAAACAAGAACAGGAAGAATTAGAAAAACACATCCCATACCTCTATTCCCACCGACCAACTGTTAGAAGTATTTTGACTACTGAAGAGATGGTATTTATTTAATCTGAAGAAGAAGAAGAAGAGAAGAAGAAGAATTACAGAAATCTGCAGAAGAAGAAGAAGAAGAAGAAGAAGAAGAAGAAGAAGAAGAAGAAGAAGAAGAAGAAGAAGAAAAAAAATTACAGACAGAATAATCATGCAAAGAACCATCAAAGAGGACATACATTTTCCAGCAGCTAGAAGACTCAAAGCAGAACCAGCATATAAGAGCAAAGTAGAAAGTAGAATTACAAAGCCAAGAGCACACCAAATGAACACACAATGACACTGAAGTCTCTTGATAAAGAACGCCCGACTGCTCTCCTCTTCTCATCAATACATCAACAAGGTAATAATTCCCCATGATGTGACGGCCTATTATACCGTCCTTCTCACTCACTATGCACAACCTATTTCTCTCTCTCTCTCTCTCTCTCTCTCTCTCTCTCTCTCTCTCTCTCTCTCTCTCTCTCTCTCTCTCTCTCTCTCTCTCTCTCTCTCGATTCTGTTTGTCCACACTCTCCTCGTGTAACAATGCGGCAGAGCCTGACCAGCCCGAGTGTGCTCTCTGGCCATCACCAGGTTGCTCCACCTGTTCCCACTGCTGTCCTTTTCTCCTGACCACCCCACCACCAGCGCCCTTATTCTTCCTCTTGGCGCAGCTGTGGCTGCCACTAAGCAGGAACACTACCTGTGGCTACTCCTCCCTCTCTCCTTCGTCAAAGCCATGGGGCCTTGCCGCATGCACTTTGCAACAGAGCCAGTGCTAGCAGCCAGTGCCTCCAAATGTGTGGAATGCTGCGGCCTCCTCATCTTTTGTCTCTTTCTGGAGGCCGCGGCAGCCTGGATGGTACTGGGCTCATCCCAGTCTGGGAACCTTAGAATCTTCCACACTGGGTGCGTCTGGGAACCTTAGAATCTTCCACACTGGGTGCACGGGCCTCAGCCACGGCAACTAACTTGTAGGCTGGGCCTACTCGTTAGTTGGAGAGGCTGTGCCCAACCTGCCTTCCAACTACCACACGCCAGCCTCAACCAGAGGCCTGGTGGATTTTTGCTTGCCATGACAACTAGTAATAATAATAATAATAATCAGCATGCGGGCCTTAGCCATGGCAACTAATAATAATTCTAATAATAATAAAATAATAAAATAATAAAATAATAAAATAATAATAATAATACTAGGCTACCAGCCGGGCTGCCCGTGTCACCCTATTTTCCCGGACGGCCCGGCCGTGCAAGGACCAGGGAAGGTCCTAGCAAAAAAAAAA